AAAGCAGTTAGTCATTTGTTGGTTGATAGCCGCGTGCTTCGGGAGTTTTAAACGAGCTGTAAACAACTGGAATCCTCATCTTACACCATTAATAACTTATTCGTATCATTACGATATTAAGAGATATTATATTGTTCTTTCTATTGTAAATAATAATAGTATCTAATATGTTAGTGTGTTTATAGTCTCCCTTACATCAGTAAATGTGTAATATTATTAAGAGCACCCCTACGTAGAGCCTAAATTAAAGGTGTAATATAGAAAGTAAATAAAATTCTGTCGATCAATAAGATTTGTGTAACATGAGTTAAAATTATTTATTTCTTAGTTATACATATTTAAATCATAGGTTTGATAAACAATTCATAGATAGTTGTCTTTTTTTTTTATTTGGGATCCAACAACTAACAACAACTAGCAACTAACAAAATCAGTTACATACTTCGATTTTTATATATATTTATTATGTGTATTTATATATATATTTTGCTTATAAATAATAATACAACAGTAATAAAAATTTATTTAAACATCTTTCATAAATTAAATTTTTTTATTTGTGTTTATTTTTAATATTACGCTAATGTGTAAACAAACTTATTTAAAAGCAAAAAAAAAAAATTAAGTAAAATGAAAAGCTTTTCCGATATGTGCACATGATGAGTGCTTATCAGATACAAAATAAGAAGGCAGAAAATCTACCGCCAATTCGCTGCACTTATAATTTTTTGTTTGACAACAATCCCACGCAAGTCTTAAAGCACAACAAATAAAATGAAACACCAGCAGAGCAACAACATATGCTGTGCAAATTCAAAGCATCAACATCAACAACAAAAGTTAACTGTATTTTGTGTTTGCTATATGGCTATATGGCACTCGCGCTACCAGAACACTTAGTTTACAATTTTACTTACTCTTTTATTTTTGAGTTTACGAAAATTTTCTCTCTCTCCATGCCATTTTCAAATACATAAAAGATTTCACTGCACAAACACAGACAAACAGGTTTGAATGCTTTTGCCGCGAATTCCGTTGCAATATATTTACATGCATGCATTCGCCCCAATATAAAATTCCTCTTTATTGTTATTAAATTTTTCTTACTCTCACTTGTTAGTATGTAATCATATGAAAGACTTTTTGCCGTTTCTTTTATGTAATTTTTTGCGTTTTTTTTTTGGTTTCTTGTTTTTGGTTTTGATGGAAACAATAATGCATGCAGTTGTTTTGCGCATGTCTTTCAGTAAAATTCGCTTAGTAATTCTTGCACATAGTTTTATTGGAGTAAGGGAGCAAGTGATTGTTGTTTTCCCGTTTATGCTTTGTTTCTTAGTAGAAAAATGTAATTCAGTGCTATAAATTTACCGTTCGTTGTATACTCATTTTGAACGCATAAACGATATATTCGCCGCAAATGATTTGATTGTAAGTGAACAGTTACATACTGGACAAAAAATGAAATCAAAGAAAAAGGTTTTACAGAGTTGAATTAAATAAAACTTGACATGTCAACTAGAATAATTTGTGTATAGTTGTAAAATATAAATGATTTAATTATATAAGAACGCAATTAATTTGTATTTTGATATAGAAAAAAACTTTTTTTTTTATATTATTTTACTAAAATAACATTATTATTATTTTATATTCATAACATTTCAACAGAATAATTTCAAAATTTGAATTTGTGTTGAGTATTTAGTTTATTAAAAGAGTTAAAGAAAGTTGTGAATTTTTATTTTGTTAAAAAAGAACACTTAACACTTTGTCTATACCCCGCCAAAGTCTTAAGACAAACTGTGACATTATTCTGCAGAAAATAATATATTTACAAGGTCTAATAAGTTTGTTGACATTCGGCAAAACAACAACTAAAGTTTAAAATGTTTTACAAAATTTAAATTGAATTTAAATTTTAAGGTATTTCAAAAAAAAAGTAGAGAAATGTAAATCAAAATAAATAAACTTTTATTTAACATAAACCAAATAAAGAAATCTAGTTGGTTTAAAATTTTTCCTTTACAACTTTGTCGAGAAATAAATGTGTTTAACCGTTTATTATGATATTACATTATTTAAAATAAAGTTATCAAATCAAAATAATTTTTTTTTTTTAAATTACTAATTTATTTACAAACTAATAGGTATTTGAAGCATTGGTTACAGTAATATTAATAATCTTAGCTCTATTTTAATCTTAATTTGAAATAATTTCAATATAATATACATAATTAACATTTACACCGAACTTGGTGATTAGTCATTAGGTAAACCTCTAAGTGTAATTTGTTTCTATAATATTGTCACATAAAAACTAATTAAGGACTGAGTACATCAACAGTTTTTTATAATACATATATAATCATTTATCTATAACATATCAGATAAAAAAGTTTTTTAGAAAAAATTTTTATATATCTTAAAAATTAATTTTTTTATATTTATAACAGTGTAATGGATTTATTTATTGTTTATATAATTATTACTTAAAAAATAAGTAAATCGGATATATCATTTATGACGACTTATATAATTTCATTATTCATATATATACACTTTTAATTTTTTTTAACATTTAAAATAATATTATGTATAACTACTTTAAAACTTACCTGACATACACTATATTTCTAAAATCACATTTCACTCAAAATCGAATTAATTAATTTTACAAATTACTAAAAGAACATCCTTTTAATATAACAACTAATTTAATATAACTCAACCCACTGTTAAGAAGGCAGCGAAATTAAAAAGTGCTTTTTTGCCACAAAGTTAACAAAATTTTCGCGGCGAACTTGAACGCATGTGTGAGCCAATTGCTCTTTTTATGTGCACTCACACAAAAATCTGTGCAAGTACATGTCATTACATTTTCTCATTGGAGCTAAATTCAGTACGAATTGTACTTTATAGCGAAACGGAGGTGTATAACGGTTTAACATCAAAAAGCAAATTGTTTTCAAACAAATTAAAAAGAAAGATAATTACTACGGTCTAACTTTTTCGTTTAATCATACATATATTGAAAACAGAAAAAAATTTATTAAAGTAAAATTGTTCCGCTTCATATAATTTGAGGAATATAAATAAATTATATACTGGATATATACGTTGTAAAAATTTTCCGAGCGGTCTTTTTTTCGCGAAATAAGTGAGTGTTGAAAAATCGAAAAGGTGATAATCAAAAACGTTATTAAAGAAAAAGTGTTTATGCATAAAATGCATAAAAATTTAAATAAAAAATATTTATGTTTTAAAATGAAATTGTAAAATTGAAAATATCAAATTTTATATGCTTAGAAAAAGCAAAAAGTGTCCACTTGTTCACATTATATTAGGCATGAAAATTTTGTTTTTTTCGTTTTTCTTTTTTTTTTTTACTATCATTAAACTTGTTTCATTCACCATAGATAAAAACTGCTAACTGCAAAAAAAAACAACAACAACAACAAAGACAATTGTTGCCTTACAAGTTGATACAACCAACGTTTATATTAATTTTCTTTCTAATTTGATTTTATGCCATTTTGTTTTTGTTTGTTATATCAACTTTTTCCATGCAGTTTTTATAATGTTTAATAAGGTTTTACTCATGTGCTAAACGTTTTTCTCCTGCAGCGCAAGTTTGGAGCATACCTATTTTGCTTTAAACACATATACATACACGTATAACAACATAAGAAAATAGCTCTCAAACTGCTGAACTTGTAAAATAGCAGTGCATTTTATACTCCTTTTCCATGTTGCTTTCAGTATTGCCTTTCGTTATTTAATATGAAAGTAAGTAAGCATTCGTATTGGTTTGCATTGATAGATTAAAGACTAAAAGCTGCTGCTTGCTTTTTCCACAAAGCTTTCTAAAATATATTTGAAGCTCTCACACTAACGCGCATTAGCAACCCCTTAACTCTGCCCACACACTATATATTGGGGTTGCTATAACATTCATTCGTCTAGCGTCCACGCCGTCGGTTGTTTGCAGTCAGTTTTGTTTAGTTTTTTTTATTAAATTAAGTAAAGAAAAAGTAATTATTTATTGTATAAATATTTTTTTAAACTAAATAGGCACATTTCGAGTACTCATACGTAGTAAAAATATCAACTCTGAAAATTGTATTAAAATTGATATTTTGTATTAATTTCATGTTCGGAAAAGTTTCTGCCATTTTTGTGCAACTTCGTCGCCGACACATAACAGTAAAGTGAAAAAAGGTGAAAATATCTTATTAAAACGGTACAAACTAAATTAACATAGAAAAGCATGGAAATGAATTTCAGTTAGTAAATATGCTTGTGTTTTAATTAATAAATAAATAAATCACATATAATTTAATATAATAAATTTGTTAAGAAGTTTAGTTGCAAAAAAAAATTATCTTGAAAGAAAGTTTTCTATATTTCTTTTCGTCTGAGCTCCCCACTTTTCAGTGTAGTTCCATAAAATAACTAAATAATATTGGTAATTTAAGGGTGGTTATTCGAAAAGTTTATTTTGTGTGCAAAATATAAATGGAAAAACTTTTTTCAAACAAAAATTTTGCCGCGGTTTATTTACAGAACTTTATATTGCTCCTTTATTAAGAATTAGATTTTCGTATTTTTTGACGTTTGGCTTGTGCCGCATTTTCTTTTTACAGTTATTTCTTTTATTCAAGTAAAAATAGCAACGTTGTTATAAGTGTTATCAATTTTTGCTACAACTATTTTTTTTACTTTAATTGTGAATATATATTTCCAAAAATGTTTATTAAAGTTTTTGTGTGCTTTACATTTTTTTCTTTAATTAAAAATATGTTTGTGGATTCTGTCAATTTAATCTAGGTTTTTCTGTGATAGATACAGAGTTGTTTTTCTTAAACTCAGGGAAATAAGCGTTTACTGCAGTAAAAATTGTTGCTTGATAGAAAATTTTAATACGGATTCATTGAGTTTTAAATAATTTAGAAATAATTTAAAAAAGTTAAAAAATTGTTTTGTTAAAATATAAAAATTTCGTAAATAAATATTTTTTGTAATTTTTTTTTTGCTAGTTGTTCAAATGTGAAATTAATTTTGTGAAAAGTATGAAGATTCAGAGCTTGGTGAGATTATTAGAAAAAAAGTCATTTTTAAATATTAATGAATTATTTTAATATATGTGTTCTAAAATCGTAGCAGAAACTATTTTCTTGGTAGTATTATGAGTCCACGTTATATCCTCCACGCGGAAGGATAGTATATAAAACCCATGCTATGGTTTTAAAACAGCGATTTATAAATGAATGACTGAATATTATATATATATGAAAATATGTATATTTAATATATAAACACAATAAAAACCTCATTTAAGCATAATTCATTATTTATTTGATTTGAAGTTTTAATAAAGAAATATTAATAAATTTATAAAATTTAATAAATTATTAGTAAATTTTTTAAATTTATGTTTTATAAAAATATAATATATACCTTTTATTATTACGAAGACGTGTAAATAACTAGTGAAACCCTTAAATATCAGAGAATATTTACTATAAGAAAGGCAATAGTTGCATTATATTAAAAATTTAAAATTGTGCTTTAAGAATTGATTTTATTTATAATTAATTGTTTTAATTATCAACATTTTTTATCGATTATTTTTATTTTTGCAACATGCTAATTGGTCAGTTGTTTAAATAATATATATTTTTAAATTACTTTTATTTTCATTAATATTTCGACTGTGGCTTATTGTCATCTTAAGAGCACATTTCTCTAAGGTAGTTTATTTCTTCAAAAAAGATTAGTTTTTTATATTTTTTTATTCTTATTATCTTATATTTATATAGCATTTGAAAATTGCAAATTTTTAATAAAAATTTTTTATGTAAATCTTATATGTATTTTTCTTACTCTTCCATTTCATATACTTACTCAACACTCGCATAACAGCTGACTAACAAACGTAACCTCATCAAAAACTACAAGAACAACAAACAAGAACAACATAAATAACAGCTCAGTGTTACAAAATCAGACGTAAAAAAAAAACTCAGAGACAGTTGCACTGTGTCTTAACGGTACATCTGTAATAATACATATAAAGCGGTAAACTCATTTTGTCGTATATATTTGTTGTGTATTTGTATACCGAATTTGCCGGTATACCATTTACCTAAACAAGTTAAAGTGTTTAGGTGAACGTTAACGGCGCGTTTAAGCGTTTAATTTTTTTGTCTGACACACGGTTAAAGTAAAATCGCCAAAATAATTCATCCACAAGTGATTTCGGATATAAACTACGCAACGGCGACCACAATGCCTTATAACGGCGCTAGTAATGGTAGTGGCGGAGGTGGAGGCGGCGGTATCGTTACTGACGGGCCGCAAAATAAGAAAATACGCACTGGGGTACAGCAACCAGGTGAAAGTGATCCCCATATGCATGCCAGGGTAAGTTAAATTTTTTTTTTAGCATTTGTATATTTTATTATTTACTTAATAAATTTGATAAGACATTAAGCGTGATACTCGGTATGTACTGTGCACATCCAAACGAAATGTATTAAATGTAAAGTACTTAAAATTATTTACTTTCCAGTTGCTATCATCATATACACTACTATATATTTGTATTCTTCTTACTCCTTTGGAATAGTCCAAACTCCAATACCGTAAACAAAATATCTGCCAAAAATTGAGTTTGCTTACTTCATGTAGATGAATAGCTTCACAGTCACAGTCACATAGAAACGTAAATAAAACAAGTTGAGGGTTGGAAAAATCGATTTTTATGAAATATGAGATTAATCAACAAATTAAAAGCCTCTATAACTTTACGATTATAAATAGTAGGAGCCTCAAAACTCAGTAAGATTAAATATGAAATTTGACGCCAAGTAATAAAATTGAAATTTTGTTGGGCTTACACAGAAAATTGCATTATAAATTAATTTATTTTTAATTAATTTAGCAAACTGTTTAAATAGAAGCTATCAACTTCCCCCTTTCATTTCATATCATCTGATTTCATAAATCTCTATAAATCTTGACTGGCAATGCTTTTTAACTGATAAAAACACTTTTCAGTGGTCATATGTCTATTCCTATTTTGGCGCATTTATTCACCACGAAAAACAAGTAGCCTTTTTGGTAGATTTTATAGTGAAAAAAATGCATTTCGCTCAAATGCACCAAAAAAATTTCGTACTATATTATTGTTTATGACACTAACACAGAGAGCTTAAGTATTTATAATATGATAACTTATATTTTTGTATATTTTAATACTCAAATATATTGCTGGAGAAAACAACTTGAGTACAACTTGAATAACTGAATACGTGCTCTCAACGTTAAATACTATAAAATGCTCTTAAGTCATATTTTCCTCTTCTTGATGTCATAACGAATACCAACCAACCAACCAACCACTGTTGCATACTTCTAGTAAAATACCAAGGCAAAAAATACCCAGTTAAGGTATAAAAA